ATCACCAATTTCCGAGGAGGTATCGGTATTTTCTGCAACCTACATTAAGAGACAAATATATAGATCAGAGAACTAAAATATTTTATTTGAATACCTCGCTGATTATGCTGGGAATTCATTAAGATATTTGATAATCTTGTACAGAGAACTCTCTTTTCCCCTGCTTTGTTAATTTTATATGGAGTGATACATTTGAAAACAATCTAGTATGTACAATGCGAGACTATCGATGTGTATAAGACGTCATTGGCAATTTTGGAAAAAATACATCTTGACGTACGTCTTTCCAGAGGTTAGTAAATGGTGATTTTTATAAATATGCTGTACGAAAGGAAGTGGTGATTGACAGTCGTCTCTCGAGTGCAGTGATCCCGAGTTCTGTTGATTGAGGATAAGATCGTCCGTCGCAGGAATCATCCGAATGTTGCCCGACTCTATGAGAGACTGTAAACTCCCGGGACGATTCTTATTTCCCATGAACGACACCCTCGCGGGGTTGGAATTGCGCGCGGCCGATGGCAGACAGATAAGGGCCTCGGAGAAAGGACGGAGGGCTGCGGATTGCTCGATCCTTCTCGGCGAGAATTTCTTTGCGGATTAATATTTGCGCTGCCGCACCGTGGAAGGCGGAGGGCGAGCGGAATAAATAACGAACGTGGTCGGAGACAAATGGGGTGGATCAACCCCCAGAACGAGCACGAGAATACATCTTTCCAGTCGGCCGAGGAAAAAATGTTTTCGCGGGTACTTTCGGTTTTCTGGCTCTTTACACTGGAACGTTTTGCTGGTTCGGATTAATTTGCACTGGAAGATTTTTCCTCTACGTGTATTCGTTAATTTCTAACGAGGTGTTGATTAAATCTTTAATCCTATTAAATAGAAATAATTATTTCCTGTTCAGTTAACGTTATACAAAATAGGATATTGAATATTGAATTTAATGGTTCTGGTGTGTTAAAACAAACGGTGAACAGCAACAGTCCGAATGATTTCAGTGGAAGAATTGTAGTTTATGTATAGGTAAAGTGGTTCTCGAGAACAAAGTTCTTTGTGTAGTGGTAATTGCACTGTAGCGAAGCTCTTAAGAAGAAAGGATCAGCTACTTGGTTAGAAATGCGTATAAACAGGAGTGAATTTGACATTGAAGACATCGAGGGGAAATGCAACCGCAACTGAAAGCTTTTTCCGCGACGCACGCTGTTGCTCCTCGAATTGTTCATTCAGAGTGCATCCACCTGTGAATCCAGGTTATTTAACGCTCACTGCCGCGACAATTCAGCGTGGTCTACTGGAAGCAGTGCGAGGAACTTTGCGAGACCCGAATTTCGAATTCAACCTTCTAGTATTTCTTGGTTTAAGAGACAAATTCCTGCAAGGGATGGAACTTTCCGTTTTTACTGCAGAACCCGTCTTTTATTAAAACATTCTGTTTTATCGTCCGGCGAACAGATGTCGGGGTGTCCTTTCTCTCAAGGATAACCCTGTATTTTCATAGGTCTAAGGACCATGAATGTGAAATTAAGGACAGCAGCCTTGGGATTTAGGCTCGCGTGAGCTGAGTTCCTGACTTTATGTCGCACGTTTTTTCGCGAATGATGTAGCAAGCGTGATATAACAGCTCAAACAGGAACGATACGATTGCTACTCACGGTTTTGATATCGAAGATACTGTAAAAAATAACCTATTAGCATAATTAAGCGGGATAATCCACAGAAAATTACTTTTAGTTGTCTATGTGTCAGTTACATCGATCGGGGCAGATTAATTTCAATCGAAAGCTTGGAAGACTTTCAACCGAACATCTCCGATGTATAAAGTAAGCATCACATTGAGAATGAAGATGCAAATGGCTTAATCGGCAAACAATTAACTCGAATTAAAGTGCGATAGCTAGAAGACTGCGTTGAAAAGCGATCCAAATGAAATTATCCATTCGTTCGTTGAAACGACGATAAACGGATCACAGATCCCCTATCCAAAGCAAATTTATCGAACGATCGGCGGCGGGATGTTATTTAATAAGCAAAGTTTAACCGGATAATTCATCCGAGGACACTTCGATCTCGAATGACAAGAATACCCTCGGGTTGAAGGGAACAGAACTGCCGGACGAAAAAAGGAGAAAATGATCGGGCGAAACGGTCTGATGTATTTTCTCGAATGGCGTTCTCGACGGGGTGCTGAAAGAGGAAGTGAATGGACGGGGATCGAAACGGAAGGCCCGAGGGATGAAATAGTCGAAAGGTCAAGCCACGGATGTCCGGGGAGGACCGAACAAGATTGGGAGACGAGAGGAGAGACCGACGCAAAAGGAGACTGCGAAGTAAGACAACGGGACTGTTCTTTGCGCCCTTTTGTTTCGTTTCAGACACACCCCTCCCTGCGCAGAGAATCTGTTCGAACGTGAGGGATGCGACTGACAGCTGGATTTGTTATATCCCGACGGCCGAACGACGCTCGTTGTTCATCGATCTTCGACGATAACGGCTGCGCCGGATTGGTACGCCGGCTTCGTTAAAATTAATCGTCGAACGTACCGTCGCACTATGGGATACTTGCCCGATCTGAGCGGCGAAAATTAAAGACAGGTTTATATACTTTTTACAATGAAATATGAGAGTATAACATAATAACACACAAAAATATGCGATTATATTGTATATAACAATAAATTTTCAGCGTGTCTGGGGGATACTTGTTTTTAAGTCAATAGAAAATTCGATGGGAAGAATATTTGGTTAATAACATAGTGGTAATGTGATCCAGCAAATATGCACATGAATAAAATATTTAATTCCTTAGCGGAGAGCGTAGAAATGAAATACAGAGAGAGGGAAATTTCGAAACGAGACTGCGAAACGTTGCAAACTTCAATTTTTTATGAACATAAAGCTCGCTTCCGGCGGCGATTTAAATCTCTCGATTGTTATTTGCGAATTCATTGGTCGTACGGATGTACATTGAGATAAATCCGATAGCGAACAAACAACAGGTGATCGACGTTCGATGTAACTCGTTTTTCGGCAGGTTTAAAGAGTTTCGTTCGCTGTTTCATCAGCGGAGACTCCGGGAATAGCGAGGCTAATGTATTTTCGCCAATGACTGACATCGATCGAAAGTCTGAGAGTGATAAACGAGTTTTGCCCACTGAATAATTCATGCTGGCCGTGCTTCAACCGCGAAAGTTAAAATTCTAGCAACGGCAGGCTGAGTATATTCAAATTTCGAATTTGTATTTCGTGTCTGCGCTTGAATTTCGCACCATTTACTAGATGATAGTCGTTGCGAGATAAATTATAATAAATTAATACATGAAAATCATCCTAAATAAGAAGAATCAGGATAAAGTAAACTTATTTATATCTATATAAAAATTATATAACGTAATTGTAAAGAAAGTAATAAAAGGTTGTTTCACGCGAATTTTTATTTCATATCTGCACTCGAATTTCGCGCCATTTATTAAATAGTCGTTGTGAGACAAATTATAATAAATTTATACATGAAAATCATGCTAAACAAGAAGAATTAGAACAAAGTAAACTTATTCATATTTATATGAAAATTATATAACGTAATTGCAACGAAAGTAATAAAAGGTTGTTTCACGCGAATTTTTATTTCATATCTGCACTCGAATTTCGCGCCATTTATTAAATAGTTGTTGTGAGACAAATTATAATAACTTTATACATGAAAATCATCCTAAACAAGAGGAATCAGGATAAAGTAAACTTATTCATATTTATATGAAAATTATATAACGTAATTGAAAAGAAAGTAATAAAAGGTTGTTTGGCGCGTAACGTGAAACAACTGTTGAAATTTCTAATACAACTACTACGTTAGTCAGCGTGCTAACCGTACACCAGCCGGTTCGAATAGCGGAAAGTTTCATCTGAGAATTTCTAATAAACGAGCTTTCAGTCTCTGTACGAGCCAGCCGTGCTCGCAGGATTCGCAATTGAAAAACTTAAACAAAATATATCTCAGTCCGGAAGTTCATTCGAACTTTGGTGCCGCCATTCGTTTCGGCGCGATATTATTCACACGTTTACACTTACCTTCCTCGTTCAACCTCTCGCGACGATATCACGGCGCTCGGAATATCGATAAATTTGGCTCGGTAAGTTTTCACACTATTTTACCACAATTTCACCACACAAGAGTCATTTCTCACATTTTTTTACTTTGCCTAACCTACATGCACCGTTCAGGTCAATTTTAGTAAAAGACAAGCAAACTTCGAATTACTTTTCATGTTCTATATATCTATAATCTAATTAAATAATAGTAGATTACATATACATTACAATCAAGTTATAATATTTACTTCTTCCCGTTTAATTTACTAAATATTAATGCAACAATTACCTGAACTGTCCACGATTCGGCGGCAAATCACTTTTGATTTGAACTGACCGTTCAAATTTCATACCCGACGCGCCACCTGGCGGGAGTTTGCGCAGTTTCCAGTTAGCAATATGAATTGTGAAAGTGCTCCATGGGGAACATCGCTCCGCATTTAATCGACGAATTTGGTAAGTTTATTCTTCTTCTATGCGCTAAAATATTAAAAAACATGTAAAGTTTAAACTTATGCATCAGTTTTTCTAAAAATCTAATATGGAGATTGCGTATCAAAGAGTATATTGAAGATTAATTAAGCCGCACTGTATCGGTACCCAACAGAAGGGATTCAAATGCAGGAGCTTAACGAATTATACAGTTTTTCATTTTAAAACGCGATATTAACTCGATTATTTTAATTAATGCGGTCACGTGAGTTCAAATATATATTTTGAAAACAAGTTTACATATGCATTAACAAATGAGAGGAACTACTAAACCTTGTTTAGTCAAAAGTATATCTAACGGTTTTCGCAACCATCATGGCGGCCGAAAGTAATTCAAATGAAGCAGATCCTAACCGTATAAATTGTTAAACTTTTTTATTCGTTTTTCCCAAGGTTTTTAAAGAAAATTAGATCGTAGGTCTTGTAGCCGTGATTTATTTCTCTTTTATAAATCATATTTACGTATACATAAATAAAAGCTTCGATCTGACTATGTACATTGTAGGATAAAAAAATGTTCCTGGGGTCATGGGATACCGCAACGAGTTGGAGAACGTTTTCTTTGTTAACGACCAGCGTTAATAGCGATATAAAAACCTTGAAAAGATTGAAAAAACCAATCTCGGGAAGGAATCATATTCGTTGATCGAGACTTCACGCGTTGAGTCTGCGAACTGGCACAGATATGATATACATGTATTTACAAGTGTAGAAGTGTTTAACATTCTGTAGACGGTAACATTTTCTCTAAATCTCGTAGAAGTTGTGCAACGTGCTCGATTAACGTGAAACCGGACATTGTAACCGGTCTCAGTGTCCTGCTATAACACTGTTTATACAAGTTTGCCAATGCCTCACAGCTGCAACATTTAAATCAATTAACACATACCCTACATTACACACAAACTGCATTGAAAATCCGTATTATACATACTCCTTCTTACTGCTGTTGTTATTTTTTGTAACAAATAACTTAGTTATAAATCTTAGGATAAACTGTAGTCTCTGTTCAAGCAACACTACCAAACTCTCTTCATCCTCCAACAACTTCTGATCATCATTTCCTTTCCCTTCTGTAATTTCTTTCCTAGCCTTCTGATTGACACCGTTAGTGCTCTCATTTTTCTGTTTCTGAGAGCTGTTTCTCTCGCACAATATATCCAGAATTGGTTTGCACTGTAATATTAGGTCAAGACCATTTTGGTACGCCTTCAATTTTCCATTGATTGTTGTGGCACCTAATACAAGATACTAATAAAAATATGACCTCAGATAAAAATGAATGGAACTACTGTAGTAGGTGCAACGTACAACGTGCTTGGTGTTCAGCCAGAGCAACCCTTTCCATCTGAACAGTTAGGAACTCTGTAATCTGTTCTAATGCTAGCAAGAGCTTAGCTGCCTTTTCATAGTACAGCTTGCACAGCTGCAAGCTTGTTTTTCTTTTGGCGTTGTCTGTGTCTGGTTCAAACTCTCTATACACACGGTGATACAAAGATGCAAGACGATGTTGAATAGTAGCTGCACGGAATTGATAAACGGGTTGCCGTGGTCCCGACGTTTCCATGTCACAGTGTTTCAACGCCTTTTGTAATACATCTACCACTTCTCGTTCCAGTTCCTCTTCGGTCTACAATTTTAACCAGTTATATAGCAACTCGATCACTGAATCAATGTTGAATTTGGAGATAAGAAATGTACCTTGCAACCGGATATAGGATAGTCTTGCAACAGTGTTGCCATGGTAAATAACGTGGTAGATAGATCCCATGTAACGGTATCCCAAATCACAGGATTGGTCTTCTTAGTTCCTAGGACCTGTAGTGCCTTCTGATAACTGGCCAAAGCTTTATTATAAAAATTACGCTCTTCAGTGTTCTGTTTAACATGCATATGAGCGCAAAGGCGCATAAGTCTTCCAGTATTTGAATGCAGAAGCGCTAAATTCGCCTCGTCATGAACTGTTTCAAATGCCTTAACTCCTGCTTCTAAATGATTCAATGAACGCGCAAGTAAGGCTGTTACATCATCATCAGCTCCTGACATCTCTTCATTTAAGTTTTCTTGCTGATACCGGGCTGTAAATGCAATAAAATTATTCTGTAATTAATGTACATAATTATGAATGGTCCAGAGAATGAATAGGGCAACTTACTTCCAGCCTGATTCATATAAAGAACGCCTAGCTCATTATGAATGTTTCCTAATCGCCTTAAAAGATTATTTCTATCCATTTCCAACGGCTCCAATAATAAGGCTTTTTCGTAACATTTATAAGATGCTACTAAAGTAGATTCTAGACTCTCTAAACGTTGTGGCAGTAAGTCAGTGTCATCTGAAATGAGAAACAGAGTGTCTAATAACCATTTTCCCAAAACGAGTACTTTATGAACCTGAGATAGAGACTCACTCGTGTCCAAATCTTCCATTTTACAGATGTCTTCGATAATCTTTTCTTCGGTTTCGTTTTTCATTTCATAATCATTTCTATGCTTCTCTATATTGCACCAGTCTTGCACAGTCATGAAGCAACAATCACCCGCACGACCCAATAAATAGCTAATCGACTTGTGGTTTCTTATTCCACAAAAGAGCTCCAAAATTTTTTGGCAACGTAACACCGTTAACATATACCTCAATGAAGCCCCGTAATTCTTATTGACGTATTCATTCTCAGCGAGCACGGCAAAGATCAATGAAGCCTTCTCGTATAACAATGTCTTCAAGTGCGCGTTCCAACTAATATTGTCGCTCTTTTTAGGTGCTTGCCAAGTGGGCAGTGTTTCAGCTTTAACTTTACATAGTAATGCCTTTGCTACATTTTCATTCTGCTCCTCCTTCAAAACGAGTTTTTCTGATTTTTTATTTTTTTTCTGTTTCAATTTCTTTTTATGGCTGGGACTATTGGTGACAGAACCGTTCCCAGATTGCGTTTCCTTCTTGTCATCTTTTAAAGAGGTGTATGGCATAGGTATTGCTTGAAGAGGTTTGGCCATGTTCAAATGAGTTTCTTCGTACTCTTTCTTTTCCTTCTCCTCCTTCTCTGCTTTTTTACGCTCTTCATCAGAAGAATCTTCAGTTGGGAAATATTGCAAACATTCAAGTCCTTGGCAGACATGTTCTAAGGCAGCTAAACATCTTTCCTCCACTATACCAGAAATAGGTGGTGGCTTGTACTTTGGTTCTTCTCTATCTTTATGCTCTTTAACTGGAACAAGAGTTTGTTTATTCGCGCGAAAAACGTTTATTTATATTAAGGGAATATCAAACTTACTGTTGGCTAATGTTAAGGACTTTATTGCAGCTTCTTCACTTTCTACTTCTTCGTCGTCCTTTTCAGTATCGTGATTCGCGCTTGATTCACTTTGTGTATCTTCTTCATCGCTTTGATCACAAAGTCCTGGACTAGCAGGATCTGTATCTGATGGTATATAAAGGTCGGACAACATGAAATGAGCAGATGTTACAATCTGAGGATATTTCTCTTTAGTTAACAATTGTATACAATTCTTCAAAAGCATTCTAATAGTGCCCTGTTGTCTGTGATAATCAGAAGAATATTTCATATTACGAGCTACTCTGTATAATAACATGGCAACAGGCACAGTAAACGGATTCTGGCCCTTTTCATCTGATACATCATTACATAAAGATGTCAGATCATACAACTTTACAACATCGTCATCCTTGCCTATGGAACATTAAATAAGTTATGAAATGCAGTTTACAAAAAATGTAAGAGTGTCTTAACTAGTCCATGCTTAATTATATCACCTTTAAACAACCAATAAGTGTGGCCAGCCTTTGTCGCATTATTTTTTAGGAAACTCAGAATATTTTGTGCTACGTCTCTGATAACTTTAGGACTAAATTTAGAATGATCCATATTTGGTAAATCCTCTGTTTTTATTAATTCATATTTTTGTACTATGCCATCCAAGTGATAACACATAACCACTTCTGGGACATTGCACATCAAATTATCTAACCAATAGTCAATACCAGTTAACACATTAATAGGCTTAGACATATCCCTTAAACGTAGACTTATACATGGATGTGTCTGCCCTCCAAATATTGGCATATCGGTACCAATGAGCATTTGTATGTTCTCAAAAGTCCACACAATATTTCTAGCGAAATTATGATTGTAATTTGGATCTGGCACTTTCTCCTCTTGTGAAGGCTCTGGCAGACATGGTTCTAATGTTTTCACAGGCAACTGTGGCTTTGTACTCTGCTCCTTATTATCTCCTACTCTTATAGAATGATACAGGAACTTGGATACCAAATTCCTTTGCTGTAAGGTATTCCTATTATTTGTCTTACGGAACAGAGTCTTGTCCTTGTCTCCCAGATTCTGGAATATGTGCTCATAGAAAAACTTTTTCAGCCATTCCCAATCACTCTCTGCTTGTCTTAATAAATATTTATGAATATCAAAATCATCAAGCAGCAAAGTATTTTCGATTCTGTGAACCATCATTGATATCACACCATGGTTATACGGTAGTTTCAGTAACTTTTTAATATTTTCAGCGTCAGACACAACATCAACTTCACCAACACAATCAGGAAACATGTGAGCCATACGAAAACTGGAAAACCCAGAAGTTTGGGACCACACACTCTGCAGGCCATAACTTTCTGCAGAGCTGCTGAGCCAGTTGCTGGGAGGTAAGTTCAAATCTGTGTTGCATTGCAATTGTGCATAAGTTGCTGGAGTCTGAACAACAGAATATTTTACAACTGCTGTAGATTTCACTGGTTTCTTAGGCGAACCAGGAGGTATTACCAAAGACATAGACTGCACCTGAAATCAACACGCTCAAGTAAACAGAAAAATCAGTTATTCGATGTCCCAGTTCTATTTAGGTGGGTCTATTTATAAAGGACATTAATTATGTGGGTAGTCTGTTGACTGCCACTACTGGCATGAAAAGGACTCAAATATTTTTCACTTAGAGAAAACATTTAATTTTGTTTTATGTTAAGACACAATGCGAATCACTGTTCGTTGAACGGTATTACACTTACTGTCTCAACCTTATCACCCGTGTCTTCTGACATTTTCAATTTCGAACTGTTTCACTCGCGTCTGTAGAGACCAGTTGCTGTGTTCCAAAAATTCTAGAAGGAACCAGAGTGTGCCGAGAACACAAGCGCATAACCACTGATTATATGATCGTGCAGGAAGGATACAATCAGTTTGAAACAGTTTTCTAACTTATCTATTTCTCTCTATATTATCAATCGACGGTAACCCTTCCGCTTCCCTCTTTCCATTGCCACACAGACGACTTACAACTTACGACTAAACGAATTAGCATATTCATCCTATTACACGTTACAACAGAATTCTCCTTATGTATGATGAAAAACAATCCACAACCTTCCTATACCATAAACTCTTTAGCACATAATCCCTGAAGAACAAGACTTCCCATGGCCGCCATATTGGAACAGTAGTTCGTCCCAAATTTTTCTAATTTTATTATAAAAATTATCGCGTCATTAAAGAAAATATATCAACCTGAATAAAAAACAAGAGCAGTCCTAATCAATTTACAGCGTACACAAAGAAAAATAATTCTAAACGACTGTTTCCCCTGAGAATCTTTGCTACCGATGAATAGCATCGCTACTAAAGATTATAACGGCAAACCGAAGCCCATGAATATCATTGATCTATCCCGAAGACGGGTGCGTAGCGTGTTATTCCGACGATTAGAAGGCAAAGTTAGCCAACACGTGAAAAGGTTAGCAACGACGTGAGCAAAGGCGCGCGGTGATCCGCGACGCTGAATGGATTCGGAAGCCCCTGAAGATCCTGACGTCATTGGTACCCTGTTCATATAAAAGAACACGTTACCACCTCCGCGTTCCAGTCGCCGACGGAGGTGGAACGGTCGGAGGAACGCTGCAGCGGAATTGGTTATGGTGATGAATTTCAAGGTGTTCAAGAAGTCCTCGCCAAACGGCAAGATCTCCTTGTACTTGGGCAAGAGAGACTACGTGGATTATCTATCAGGGATCGAGCCAATCGATGGAGTAGTCCTACTGGACCAGAACTACATAGACACCGGAAGGAAGGTATGGGGCCAGTTGATCTGCAGTTTCCGCTACGGCCGCGAGGAGGACGAGGTGATGGGCCTGAACTTCCAAAAAGATCTCTACCTCGTCTCCGAGCAAATTCAACCGGCCACCAAGAAGGCGGAGGATAGCTTAACGAAGCTGCAAGAACGACTGCTGCGGAAGCTAGGACCGAACGCCATCCCGTTCACCTTCAAGTTCCCCCAAAGTGCTCCGTCCAGCGTGACCCTGCAGCCAGGTGAGGACGAGACCGGCGAACCCTGCGGCGTCAGCTATATCGTGAAGTTCTACTCCGGCGAGACGGAAACTGATCTCACTCACAAGAGGAGCACGGTGACAATGGGCATCAGGAAGATACAGTACGCACCCACGAAGCAGGGTCGCCAGCCGTGCACTGTGGTGAGAAAGGATTTTTTATTGAGTCCTGGGGACCTGGAACTGGAGGTTACCTTGGACAAGCAGCTCTACCATCATGGGGAGAGGATAGCGGTGAACGTGTGCGTGCGGAACAACAGCAACAAAGTGGTGAAGAAGATCAAGGCACTGGTGCAGCAGGGCATCGACGTGGTGATCTTCCAGAATGGCCAGTTCAGGACGGTGATCGACGCGGTGGAGACGCAGGACGGCTGCCCGATCAACCCCGGTTCGAACCTGCAGAAGGTGCTCTACCTGACCCCGGAACTGGAGAAGAACAAGAACCGACGCGGCATCGCTTTGGATGGAAAACTGAAGAGGGACGAAGGCGAGCTAGCTTCTAGCACGCTACTGCTGTCCCCGGATGTCCGGGATTCTTTCGGTATCGTGGTCTCGTACGCTGTCAAGGTCAAACTGTATCTGGGTGCCCTGGGTGGAGAACTGTCCGCTGAGCTGCCGTTCATTCTGATGAGACCGAAACCGGTGGACCGGATCAAGGTGGTGAACGCGGACAACGAAGAGGTGGAGGACATCACTGAAGAGAAGGTGCCCCTGGCTGCTAATTAGACAGGGTCCAAGTCAACTTGAACACGGGAAGCTCACATGTCCAAGCGATTCGCGTGTATGGGTGTAACATTCTGGGAATGTAACGCGTCCTCTATTATGTTAACCCCTTAAGGGCCTGGATCGGAGTCAAGATTTATTTTTGTATTAAGGAATGCTGGCTAAATGAAGAAGACTTGGGCCATAAAACAAAATGGAACAGGGACGTTGGTAGATTATTTAGTATTCGAATTTTAAGTTTGATAGTTTCATTCGGGTAGGCCCGAGGACCTTAAGGGGTTAAGGATTATGCCCTCGATTCTTGGATCTAACTGGCTCGCTGCAACTCACTGGAAATTGGAACGACGACAATGTAGGACCGAGATCGTCCTCTGTTCTCCGAACCGACTCCTCTTAGACGTCCAAGAAATTCGTATCGATCACTGCTGGAAGCTAGGTGAAAGTGAACCGACCGTGCGACGCAACTGGAACGCGACCCTTTCAAAAAGAACATGCAACCGATCTGTAGCTCTCGTTTGCACAGTAGCATCCTGCGATTGTAAAAATGCGTATAACAGGAAGAAAAATGGAACATTCGTATAGAATCTGATCCAAATACATCTGTATGCTATTACACAACCGAGTATCCTTTTCTACCTATCCGAACTTCGCATCTTAGCTATCGCAATGATTATTTTGTAACAGTCTCTATTTCATTAAACGCAACGTATCCTTTTCACCGAACGAATATGACAAAGGAATCCGATTAACTTCCCTAACTTATCTCCAGTGAAACGAATTACTTCTTCCTTTCATACGGAAGAGAAAATGGCCTGGCTGGTAGCGGACGCGTTGAAACCTAATTAACAGTCGAGTACCCACTTATATTTGGAAAAGCGTTATGCAACGACCCGACTTTGTCGAAGCTCGTGCTTTATGCGTTAAGGTATAACGATTTTAAGCCAGGTTACTTTTTTTTTCATTTAAATCACCAAGAAAAACGCTCGAGAGTGAAGCACTTGAAAGGTTCCGCGCGAGGGAACACGGATTCGACTTTCATCGATACTTTCGCTGGTCCGCTTCGGAGCTTTAACCGACCCGAACGCGAGCTCCGCAAGCTGTAATGAAATCGTTCGCGGTTCATCGAATTGATTTACGCAGTTCGATTGTTACCGCGACGTTCGATGCTTCCGTGTTTTCTTTATGCGCGCTCCGAAACGGAACGACTTCGCGTCCTCGTTAAGGCGAAGCCGAACGAACCGCGGAGTCCTTATCGAAGCGGCTGCCGCTCGTTAATATCGCGCCGCCGATCAATCAGCAACGTTAAGCAGATAAAGGCGCGGAAGACCAGGCGTGTCCGCTCTCAAATTTATCTTCACGATTCAGGAAACCCTTCCGAGCGTCCTCGAGCGTGAAAACGACCGTTCAACAAGTACGACGGCCGAAAAGTTGATATCGCGATTATCGAAAACCAGAGATGCGCAAAGTGTGAAGGAGAAATCGCAAAGAAAACTGTAAAATTTTTATTTGATCTTGAATGAGTATGATTCTTTCTTGTTTCATATGATTAGCAGATTTTCTGACTGTATCTTTCTATAATGCAACAGTTCAAGTTCTACGAAGACCAGTGTAACCTATAAAAGTACAAAACTTCATAGTCTAATTATAGTTTCAAACACTTTTCTACATTGTGTCCCATTCCTCCATCTTATTTATTTTGTGATCCGCCTAGGGTCGCGACCCCCAGTTCGAGAGGCCCACTCGCAGTGTACACAAGCACGGAAAACAAGGTGCAGGATTCTATTTTCGTGGAGTGGTGTCGCTCGGAATAAACGCAAACACGGAGAGAAGCGAAGAGGAGCCACGAACGGGACGAAATGAAAAAAAGTCCGGTGATTTCGAGCGTCGAGCAGAGAAAATTTCGATTTATCCGCCGGCCACCCCCAGGAAGCTAACGAACGACCGTGGCGCGGCGAAAAACGTCGGGCGGTCGTTATCGATTACGAGATAACACTGGAACACCGGTTACGCAATGTCCAGTTTCCTCGGACCGGGCCTTTTTTCTTGCGAAAAATTGTTTCCTCCGTCGAGGACAAGGTCGTGCATTTTCGATGACGCAACCCCTCAGACCGGTTCGTGGCCTAGAAAAATAGCCGCGTGCGCGGCCAGCCGTGTTCTTGCGTCTCGGGAGCGCCGGTGGCCGATCGATCCGTCCGCCCGTCCGTCCGCCCGTTCGGAAAGAGGAATCATCCGCAATTTCGCGAGGTACCACCTAGAACCATCGGAAAACAGACTCGACAACTTATGAATATGAACGACAAAAGAATGAAGAAAAGGCGGAGCATAAAAAGTTTCAGGCAACCGTCGTAAAAAAAGAACAACAAGAGGAGAAAAATCGAAGAAAGGATTCGCCAGTAGCTAACATTAAACTTATGGTTGTTCACCAATAGAACCGTTCGAAGGTCAAACTAACCACGCTTCTTACAATTCTCAAAAATTCAAACGCTTTTATCTTTCATTATACAGAAATGATCACTTCAAGAAGCGAATGGCTCAATCAAGGAGTTGCCCACGAACTCAGCGCACCTAGTCACGTCTAGCTCATCCCTTATCCCCAGCCAGAACCGCAGCAAATAATAAGAATCATCGGGCACGCAAGGATCATAGGTCCTACATTCGCCGCAGGTATACAGCGGCGACAAATCGAAAGAAACGACGTCGCCGGCGACGATCCTGGCGATTCCCGTGTGGAAGGTCCTGCGAAGGGCAGCGCCGTCTCGCCGCTACCACCCTGCACCTATATACTTGTGGTGGTGGGCGTCGGAGGAGCAGCGAGCGGGATGAACGGAGAACGCGATGTAGGAGAGCCTCTGGTGGAAGAGGGACGCAGCGAGAGGGATCGGCTCTCGGCGGCAGCGGCGGCGGCGAGCGAGAAGAGAGAGCGGGAGCGTTTCATGGAGGGAGAGACAGCGAGGAGATAAAATTAGAGAGAGAGAGGTCAGAAAAAGCTTCGCGGCGGGACGGATCGGATAAGAGGAGAGTAAAAATCCGTGGACTGAAGAAGGAGGCCGTGGAGAATCGTGTGGAGAGAACGAGACTGCCAGCGGCGGCGGCGGAAGGGGCGAGCGAAGGAAAGAGAGAGAAAGATTGAGCAAGCTAGGGGGAACTGTCCAACGGAGGGAGTAGGACAGAGAATGATACGATCGAGTCGCGAGAAACGGAGGGAGAGAGAGGCAGCTTGATGGGGCGCGAGGGAGGGAAGGAGACGATAAACTCGGGGTTCGGGCGGTCCGCAGGCTATACCGGTGCGTCAGTCAGGCTCGAGACACCCGCGAGAACGGAGCGTTGGGTGGTTGCCTCCCCCATTTTGGTATCGGGTACGTAACGTTCGATGCGCCCCCTCCATCGTCGTCGTCATCCCCTGCCCGCCTAAAGAGCCCGAGAGGAGTCTCCGGTTACGAGAGAGGCCAGTGTCGCGTAGAGTGTCGCACGAGGCGTGTTGAAAGAGAGAAGAGACCGACGCCTGTTCTCCGCGAACCGAACCGAATTGAACCGAGCCGTACCGTTCCCGTCGCTCGAACTTCAACCCCCTGGCCCGAGCCGATCGGTGTCGACGCGATCAGCCCTCTCTCCTACGTCGCGCGTTCTCGAATTCATTTTTGTCTGGTGCCGGTTCTCCGGGGATCCCCTTTCGGTGAGAGATCGCAGCTACGCAAGAGGCAAGGAAGAGAAGAACAAGAGACGGTCGCGCGCGCACGCACGCACGCAAGCACGCACTCACGCACGCACGTCGTGGCGAAGGTGGTGGCCCGGAGAAGCGTTCTCTTCAAGGTTTTCCGCTCGCGAGGCTCTCTCTCGTCCGCACCGGGGGCGAATCAGCCGCAGGAAGAACGAAGGAAGACGGTGGCGGCTACGCTACGCTAGCAGCCGAGTGAGTAGCTATCTCGGAGCCTTGACTCTGCCCTCTCTCTCGAGGATACAGTACACGTATTTCTCTCTCTGTCTGTCTGTCTATCTGTCTGTCTGTCTGTCTGTCTGTCCATCTGTCTGTCTGTCTGTCTCCTCTTAAGCTAGGTGTCCATTTGGGAACGAGATCATAGACAGTTTTCGGGATCGTTCTTTAAACGAATATTCCGTTCTGACTGTTGGAGCATCGTCAGACTTATCATCATTCGCGGTAGAGTAT